AGCCGCCAGTTTGTGAAAGATTCCATTAGACTTGTTAAAAGATGCACAAAACCAGATAGAAAAGGTAAAGTAATCAAGAGGAAAAAGGGGGGAAGCAATGGTAATATAAAATGCAAGAAACAAACCATTTCTATAATCACAGTGGATTCATGTCAGGTTTCTATATCAAATCACATGTTTTCGTTCTAATAATGAAACCTTAACTCTAAACGAGTGAAAGTAAAAATACTACAAATAATAGTACAAATTGAAAGTAATAAAAATACAGATTAAAAAACTCAAATATAAACAGTAAACTATGTTTACTGGTGGACAGTCAACAAATCTAAAATATATATCTATTATACTCCACAATGTTCTTAAAGTATGGTCACATAAAATACTCTTGGAAATCTTCAAAATTATTTAAAAAATAATGCAATATTAAAACCCTGTTTATCATGCGAAACAATAATGGAAGCAAAGGTGTTAATTTAATTTTTAATAAGATAAAAGTCAATAAACATAATCCATACAAACAACAACTTTGGGATCCTCCATAATTTTTAATAGTGTGAAAGAAAAAAGTTTTAAAAACACTTCTCTAGTATATTGTTTCATTTGTGAAGTACTCAAAAGATTTCTAGAGGAGATATTAAAGTACAAGTTGCATTTAAAAAGATACTGAAGCTTTCTTCAGTTCTTATTTTAACAATGCAAGAGGTACATTTTTGAAATAGGGGCTACAAGGGGACTTTTTTTTGATAAAGTGAGCAGAGTGATTTGAACTGGAGCCCAGAAATATGTAATACTAACTTTATCAGTAGTGAGCATATTTTTTTCTAAGTGAAAAAAATTGACCTTTTTCTTAGATTTAGAGAAGATAGTTCTTACACAAATGCTGAGTCTAGAAAATACTGAGGAAGTAATTAAGTATCTGATTGCTCTTGATTTTTTTTTTGACAATACCCAAAAAACCCAATGCAATTCTAGGCTGAATTAATAGAGGGATAGTATCAAGATCATGTCAAGTGCTAGTACAGCTTTACAAAGCTTTGGTAAGACCACACTTGGAACACTGCAGCCAGCTCTAATCACCACAATATAAAAAAGATGCTGAGACTTTGGAAAGAATGCAGAGAAGAGCAGTAAAAATTATTAGGGAGCTAGAAGCTGAAAATTACAAAGAATGGTTACAGGAATTGGGTGTGAATAGTTTAATGAAAAGAACAACCAGGGGAGACACGATAGCAGTGTTCCTACAAAGAGCCCCTCAAATAATGTGTTTGTGTGTGGGGGGGGGGGGTGTATGCCAAATTGTTTTCCAAAGCACCAAAAGACAATAAAAAATGGATGGAAACTAACCAAGGAGAGAAGCAATTTAGAACTAAGGAGAAATTTCCTAATGAAGAGAGTAATCAACCAATGGAAAAACTTGCTTTCAGAAGTTGTGGATGCTCCATTACTGGAGGCTTTCAAAAAGAGACTGGATAATCATTTATCTGAAATAGTATAGGGTCCCCTGCCTAAGGGGTTTGAACCAAAAGACCTCCATGGTCCAACTCTTATGTTCTATAAAAAAAAAACCACTAATTCAAGTATTCTAAACGCTTTAGGAAATGACATAATATTCTGTAATACCTATCTCTTTTGTATGACTTAATTGACTCCAGGTTCTACCAATTAAGCAATCTAATCTAGTGTGACCCTCTTTTTTCGGAGTACCTGCATTCATTTGGATCCGACCTTTCCAATTCAAAAGAACCCCAAAGAGGTGGCTGCCCCCTTGGGTTGGGTACCTGGTGGGTTCTTCTCAGTTGGGAATATTTTTTAAATAATGCTTTTGAAGCAAATGTGTACATTTAAATATCATGGTGCTTTTTAATTTTTTTTTATAAAGCTGCCCATTATTATTTTTGGATCACAGTGTCTCAGGAATTGGATAAATATATGTAATTTTAAATTCCAGAATTCCAGAAGATTGCCATGGCAACAGCAATAGGTTTTGCAATAATGGGATTTATTGGTTTCTTCGTAAAATTGATCCACATTCCAATCAACAATATTATTGTGTAAGTAAATGTGTTAAATGCTATTTGTTGGAAAAGATCTGACAAAAAGTTAATAATAGTTCCTAATATCCTCTTCCCTCTTTAGTGTCATCTGAGAATCTTGTATGTGACAACAAAATAGTCTGTGATACATGCATTTACTTAGAATATTTCAATGATAGTTTGCTATTTAAAAAATGCTAATGCATTATAAAGAAACTAAATACAGAAATTAACAATATGATTTTTTTAAAAAAATAAAAGACTTTAATAGCATGTTAATAGTGCTGAGATACTGCTATATTCTTATTTGTTTCTTGAACAAAGGAACTCCTTTAAAAAGGGGCATTTCTAAGGCAGGACACTACTAGTGAAAATGCCTTCTCCCTCATAGTTATTTAATAATACCACTCAAGTAAAAGATTGAATATTAGCATTTATTTTATAAACAGAATGACATATTTCAATGAGTAAATTGACTCCTGCCTTTTGAACTAATTCACAAAGCTAGACAATATTCATATACCATAACATAATATCCCATATATTCACAAGAGTATAAAGGAGAATCATAACAGCTTTATCAATTTCAATTAGAAAAAACAATTTCATATTATTAATGCACGAGCTCCAAAGTAAGAGCTAATAAGGGCCATCAAATTGTGAATAAAATCCAAAAGATATTTCCTCACACCAGGACTACCATGTTTTGCCCAAAATAAGACCCAGTCTATTTTTTTGCCTCCAGAAAAGGCAACCGGTCTTATTTTTTGGGGTGTGTGGGGGTATCTTACATGCTTACCTTAGGACCACTGCAGCCAGGTTTCCCACGACCTGACACCTGTCATGCCATTGCCTGTCTGGCTGCTTGCAGCCAGATGCCATGTGTCACATCACACTGATGACACCGCTTTTGGTAGGATGCGTGGCTTTTCACGCCAGTGCCTCTGATTCTGGCAGGACGCTGTGTGACACATCGCATTCGGGCCAACGCTCAGCCACAAGTCAGGCAGCAGTGCGACAGGTGTTGGGGCATGGGAGACCTGGCTGCAGCTGTCCTAAGGTAAGCAGGTGTGGGGTGCATGGGGCAGCTCCACCCCCACCCTACCTTGATTTTTACGCATGTGCCTCACCCCATGTACAATCAGATGGTGGGATGAGTGGGTCGGGTCTTAACTAGAGCTTATTTGGGGGGTAGGGCTTATAATAGCACACATAAAAAAATCAAGCTAGTTCTTATTTTTGGAATATGTTCTATTTTCAGGGAAACATGACATTTCAGGGTCCCTGCAGTTGCCTCTGATTCTTAAGCTGAAAAGAAATAGTGTGCCATGTTAATAAAAGCCACAATTAAAAACATTTGCTGCTGTCTTTTTTGTTTATATTTAATGTATAAATATATTTAAAATATATTTTGAAATAAATATGTTATTACTACTAAGACACCACTATACATATTTCTTGAATAAAGTAGTTCCTTTGAAAAGGGGCATTTCTTAGGCAAGCTACTGTGTTTCCCTGAAAATACAACCTATCCCCAAAACAAGCCCTAGTCTGAATTTCATGTCTCTGCCTAATATAAATACTGCTCCAATTAAGTCCCACTCACCATCTGGTTGTACATACTGGTGGTGCCGCTTGTAGCAGGACACAACGTGACACGTTGTGCCGGTGCTGTTCTTGTGCGCGCAACAGCACAATATACCATTTAGCCTCCTGCCACAAGCAGCAGAACTGGTGTGACGAGCCATGTGGCGATTGGCCATAGAAGCAGTCAGGCAGCACCAAGATAGGTGTTGGTGCCTGGGAGGCCTAGCTGCAGTAGTTTTAAGGTAAGTGTGTAAGACATCCTCTGAAAATAAGACTTGGTGCTTATTTTGGGGCCCAAAAGAAAGATCAAGTCTTATTTTTGGGGAAACATAATAATAGAAGTGGTTAATTTATTCAGTGATATAAGTCCCCTATTTTTATAATTGATTCCATAAGTCATTTCTATATTTGTACATTATATGATACATACAATGGGATAATTGCATGATACTCTAGGATCTCTACCCATGTCTCAGTGGAACATCTGTTACAATGTGTGCCCTGCCATTCAGTTGTAATAAATTATTTCTGCAGAAAAAATGCTTTTATTTGTGGAATAATTTTATGTTTCATTTTGGACTACATTAATTATCCATTTTGGTGGGTTATTTTGTTAGTAATATGGGGCTGACTATTTGATGGTGAGATATATCACCAATGAACGAGAGAGTGGATGTAAAAACAACTTGATATTGGTTTATCTGGCATCGTTGAGGTTTGACTACTAATTTCTTCTATATCTTTCTGTTGAATCCAGAGACAATATGAAAGTGCGTGCAAAATCAAAAAGTTTTTCATAATTGAGATCCAAAATAGCATTTTAATTGAAATTTAGTTTTAGTCAATTAGATCTATTTTTCATATAAACATCTTCCATAAGATGGTATAGTCTTTAGAACCTTAATTAGATATTTTGGTGTGCAGTTTGTGTGTAACCTTACTATTTACTAATTAATCCAGCATCTTGAACTCATTGAATTGTCTACTGATCAACACTCTTATTACATACTTTTATATGAATATATTCTTATTCTTTCATTGAGTTTGTTAATTTTAGGGTAATAATTATGTTTCTTGAAATATAATTCTATAATAATATCATTGACTATCATGTGACAGTGTCTCAATTGATGTTCTTTTTTCTTTTTACAGTGGTGGCTAAACACATCAAGAAGACATTACTTTGTGCATGGTAGAATAGCAGATCAATGTGGACTTTCTGACTTAATTGTCTGTGTAGATCTTCCTCATTTATAACTTGTCAATATAAACTAGATCTTAAAATCAAATTTGTGTGGTGTCCTACTTGCTTAACTAACCAACTCTTGAAGATTACACTGATAGGAGCTTTTAGGAAAGAGCTGATAACTTCCATTTCTTCTTGGAAGTTGGGAAAACATCAGTACTGTAAAAAAAAACTGAACAGCATACAATTGACTTATTTATATATGCCTAACTTGAATTATTGCTGAAGATGCCCAACTTCTGTTAATCTTCATGCTGAAAAAATGTGTATGTTTTGCAAAAATGTAACTAACAAATATATTTTAAATTATATCTTTATTAAGGCAATTGTAGATCTCATTACAATATGGTATTAATTGACATTGCTTTCCAAAAGAACTAATTCCATTACATTTGGCAAGCTTTAAGAAACAGCATTTGTAAGAATAGAGCCAAGATAAAATATAATTAACACTACTTAAATTGTAGAATTTATTCTGATTTAATTTTATTTGCAGAGACCTATATGATATTTAGCTGCCATAGGATTAGGAGATAAAGTGCACATATTAGATACTATACATACAAACACATTTCCTCTTCTATTAGTACTGGCATACAATTTCCTATGTCATTTTAATGCAAGCAAAATAAGAGTTTCACTGTATCTTTCCTATGTTTTAATGAAGCAAAATAACAGGTTCACTATATTTTTCTTACATTGTTTTAATGCAAGCACATAACAGTTTCATTATATCTTTCCTATGCTGTTTTAATGCAAGCAAAATTGTTTATTGTTGTGGCCATTTATTTGTGTGTCCTCCTTATCACAAATAAACCGCAGCTATTTGTGGTTAGACCAATAATTAGGAGATAAAAATTACTGCACTATCAGTGGGAGTAGAATTTACTGAGTTCTTTTCCTTGTTGTGGATAATAAAGAGGTGATATCTGATAGAGCAGAGAGTCCGTGAAGCCAGGCTTTGTGCTTATGCCTAGATGTGTATTGAGGGCTGTAGGTGTTTGTACTCCTATGCAATTTTTGATTTGTACAGCATCATCTAGACTAATTTTGCATGCATTTTTAAGTCACAATTACTTATTACATGGGTATTAATTAGTAACAAATAGGAGGCACTGCTTATTCTAACCAGTAGCAAAGTTTTGCTAAAGAGTTTGAGCATAGAAGCAACAGCTGGAATACAGCATAGAATGTTGTATATATCTACTTTTGATCATCTTACCGATACATATCTTTAAACAAGTTTTCTATGCATTGGTTACATTTAAAAATACATTCAACTTCAGGCTTTAAAAACATGGATACAGCTTTGCGTTAAGAAGAAAATCATAAAATCTATGGCATTCAATAGAATGAAGCTAAATTTTTAAAAACCAACTACGTAAAATGTTGAATTTTTATAAAAGCATAATGAAATAATTGCAGAAAAATAATTATCAGTTGCCTAGTGGGTGGGATTCCAGAGAATTTCATTTTTGAATTTCAAGTTGATTTAAGTAGGGTCACCATCTTTTAAGCACACCCTTTTTCTTTGATTCCCATTGTCCAAAGCAAAGGCTTGTCTGTTTCAATGGTCACTATCCCAGTTTTGTCATAAGTGTTTGATGTGCTGACAAGTGTTCCAAACTTCAAAATACTTCTACCTGTAATTAAGAAAAAAAGGTGAAGATTTTTTCTACATCATTTCAACTTATATGTATTTATATACAGGTAATCTTCATTTAATTATGGTAATCAGGACCTGCAAGCATATCATTAAATGACTTAGTTATGAAGTGCAATGTCATGTGACTGCACTGACTTAGGATTCCGGTTCATTAGAAGAATCCTGTGTGGTTGCAGCTTTGTAGTCATTGTTATTTGTGATCTGCCAGCTTCCCCATTAACTTCACTTTTCAGAAGCCAGCAGTGAAGATTTGCAAATGACGATCATGTGATTACAGGGCATTGCAATGTCTTTTTAATTGGTCATTCAACAAGGGCTACCAGCAGTAGCTTCCTAGGTAGTTCTGCATTTGAGTCTAAAATTTCCATTGCTAAAAAAGATAGTTAAGTAAATTTTGCCCCCCTTTACAACCCTTTTTACTATAGTTGTTAAGTGAATCATTGCAGTTAAATGAATTCTGAGGTTGATAAATGAATTTGGCTTCCTCCATTAACTTTGCTTGTCAGAAGCTGGCTGGGAACATGAGTACGTGACTGAGACAGTACAAGCATCATAAATACAGCTATTTGCCAAGCATACAAATTTTGGCAATGTGACTGGGAATGTTGCAACAGTCAAAATGTGAAAACCAGTCTCAAATCATTTTTTTAGTACTGTTGTAACCGAATGATCGTAAAAAGAATAGTTGTAAGTTGAAGGCTATCTCTCTAGAATTATTTTTTGATGAAATTTATTATCCAAATCATGATGATTTGTTGCATATGTGCCATGACCCTTCCCCAAAATTGGGATTCTTCTAAAGGTTTGAAATGTAATTTATACCTGACTAATGAACAAATCATAAGAACATTTTTAAATATTCCAATTATATTAAGATACCAAGATTTTAGAAAACTAACCTTTTAAAAAAATAAAGCATCCAGAAAAACCTTTTAAATCAACGTCTAGATTTTTTGAAATCTTTAGAAAAAAAATTACAGGTTCTAAAGTCTGTGGATAAGGGCTTATTCTCAACTCTGGATATCTGTATGCCTCAACATTTATCACAACAATGTAGGACTGTAAAGCATTCCAAGAGATGCCTTGTCAGCAAAACAAAGTCCATGCAGAGACAGTTGAAGCAGCAAGCCTCATGAGTCTTTCAAAAGACGCAGCTGATTTTGTTCTTGAAGAAGGGGTGTTTTGTTTGTGATAGAGCATAAGCATCTTTTTCTAATGTTTTATACACAGCCTTATTACCAAAGATAACAGCACAGTATTGTATTGTATAAAAGCTAAATTAGTAATAACTTCCTATCCAGTAGATGGCTCTTTTCATCGATTTTCCAGGCAGGTTTTCTTGCGTTTTTTATAAAATACTTTGGAAAAATGCAATTCATGACACTTGTAAAAAGTGATTAGAAGTTTAGCACATTTTTATTACTCTAACTAAGAATATAAAAATTAGTCAAAAACATGGTTTGGATTAAAGTAAGGTAGCAAAACTGACATTAGAGGATATAATATATCCTATATATAGGAGCCAGTTTGATCTGCTGTTAAGGCACCAGGCTAGACAAGTAAAAGCTCAAGTCCTGCCTTCACTATGAAAGGCAGCCAGGTACTCGCTCTCAGCCCTATTCACTTCATAGGTTGTTGTGAGGGAAATGGTGGTAGGAAGGTGGGGTGTTCAGTCTTGAGATATTTGTAAAACTAATGAAGATGGGAAACAAACAAAAACATTCTGGAAACAATACTGTCCCCACATTTTCTACATCAATTTTTTCAGTGGCAACTTATAAAGGGAAACAACTGAACATCTTAAATAATGTGCGATAATATGCATTCTTCACAGTGTGTCTTCTAAGGGGGAAAAATGTTACTGAAAGGGCCTGCATTCCTGCCTTCCACTTTTCCTGGAAAATGACTTTCAACATTAGCTTTTCACTCAGGTAGACTAGGGAGTGACCCTAGTCTGAGAACATGTATTTTCTTAACAGGGATGTTATTTCCACTATTAAGGTCAGTACTATTTTTTTAAATATATTGTAAGCAGTGATGTCTATTGCTGGTCTGACTGTAATAAAGTTCAGTTCTGTTCTGTTCCATTCTCTCTGTTCTTGATTGCTAATGATACTGTCTCTGATGAATACTATATTAACCACTGTATATACTGTATATTTAACACTATGTACTGCATCATTTTTAAAAATCGATCCCTGTTTGAATTTTTATTTAGTTTTCTATTCATCTCTCTTCATACTTTTTCCTCTTATCTATACTTTTACAACATGCAGAACAACCTAATCCTTCCATCCCCCTCTCCATCCAATCAGAACTGATGAAGCTTCTTAGATGAGAAGTAAAATGTCTTCAAGGAAAAACAAAGTCCAGTTGCCTTTTCAAAAAGCACCTTTGAGAAATGCAGATTATATTCTAATAATTTATTTTATTTAAAGGCAATATTTTACCAGAATTGCCTTTAAATAAAATAGTATTATCATAAGTTTTCTTTTTACTTTTTTATTCTTGATTATTTTTTTTGGCAAATCATTGTATTTTTTAATCTATAAAGTAATTGTAGATAATACAGTTCTATGCATCTGGATTCCTTCTACCTTTCGTTCTTGGAAGTAGCAGTCTGCATCCCATTTTGGCCTTTGCATGTGTATGAGAATCTTAGACAATGCGAACTGTAGGACAGCCAAGACAAAAAAGGTCAGGTGTTCACGGGGGAGGGACATCAAACAGGATCATATAATAACCTCTGCATGGGTTTGAAACCCTTTCCCTTTATGTAAATTGCACATCTTTTTTTTATCCTCTCTCATCCTCAATCATACCAAATCTTCTCAAGGGGAGATTAGTAATTTAACAAATGCAGTATAACTGGAACGAGCAAATTATCAAAAGCATGTAACTTGAAACTTATTGATTTCTATGAAATTTGGTACTATTCATTCCTGCATAAAATTCTAGTATCCTTATCATTTTCCTATTCTGATGGAAACTGAAAAACATAGATATGGAATTTAACAAGTCTGATTTTATATAAAATGTCCTGTTCAAATAATCCCTGCAAAAACAGGGCCACAACAGTTTACATTGGGTATGATTAAAAAAAAAACATTTTAGGGAAGAAAAAGTCATTTTCTTTCATCTCCAGAGGTTAGCTGAGGTAGGTTACTTTTGGAGCAACATGTGGTAAGGCAAGCTGTTTCAGGTGCATGCTTTGGTCTAGAATAAATCTGATGGGTTTTTTGAAGCCTTAAACAAAACAAAAGACATTTTTTGTAAAAAAAAGCCATTATTTTAGTTTCAATCCTGGACATCTGCAATTCTTAAAGGCTGGGGAGAAAATGTTCCAGATGAAAAAAAAATTGTGCTTGCTTTTGAGTTTTGAACAGTTATCTTCATCTTGCTTGCTAACACAGGCCATAAAACAGCTATCATTCTACATTGCTCTGGATTGAAAATTGCCTGAAGGTGCCTTGTGGATTCATGACTAATGCAATGTTATACTGGACATTATCTAGCTCACATGCTCCTTGATGTCTCTGTGCATACACAGCTGAATTTGTAATAGTTTCTTTCCTCTTGTAACACTTGTAGCAAGATTGGCAGCACTAATCCCATGGAAGTGTCTATCTGAAGAATTCTTTCTTTGAATTTCCATTATCCCCTTGAAGCATTCTAAACACATGGGAGAATTTCTAAAGAAAGCTACAATTTTAATAAGAATTTTTACCGTCTTTTAGTGAGCATGTGTTAAGTAGATGATTTCTACAAAGAACAAAATACAGATGATAGGACATTCAACGTGGATGGATGAATCTTGAAATAAGGTGATATTAATTAGGAATTATTGCAGATGGTGACTCAGGAATCAGTAAATGCAAGCATATTAATATTACTTTGGAAGCAATAAGAATACATACAAATTTCAACTAATTGAACTTTAAATCAATTTTTAAAAGGCTGTATGTAGTTTAAAATAAATTTACCTTGATAACTATTATAGTAAAAGCTGGTGTTATAAAATAAGCAGTTTAATTTTATCTTAAATGGCTACAAAGAGTAAGAAAGAGGAAGCTAGGAGTTTGGGATTGAATTTACTTTTGGGAAAATCTTCTAGATATAAAAATTTAAAAAGGGAAAATCTGTAAGATAATCTCTGAAAAAAAAGGATTTAATTTTCTGGTGTAAAAAACTTTCTTAGAATATTACAATATTACAGAAAATTGCTAATTTCTAACTGGATTATTTTAATGTGGGCAAATGTAATCCTTTAAGTGCAGTCTAAATTGCTATCTGAAAATAAATTCTGCTTACTGATTACATAAGTAAAGACTTAAAATCAAATTCAGCTCATGCCTATATAAGTATTCTTGGCCATAATAGAGAAGCATTTCACCACTGCCACCTCCCCATATGGCATATTTGAATTCTCAAGTAGCCTTTTGCTCTTCAGGTTCTTGGTGTATCCTATCTAAGCACTACTCTGTTTCTGTGCTTTTCAAGATCAGTCAAAATTGGCTAGGTGCAGGAGTGAAGGTTTTTGTCAAAATGATGAAAATAAAATCGCAATATGAGCTTTTATTTTTACAAACTTTCATGCAATGTTGACATATACAAAAGGATTAAAATCTATGTTACAATAGGACAGCATTGCTTTTACTGGCTTCCTGCCAACCCCAACTGAAGCCATGAGTGCTTCAGCATGATTATTTAACTTGGCTTTATCAGGGTACAATGAAAACAAGATAGAGAAAAAAAAATACAGAATGTGGGTTCTGGGATTCTTTCCAATATCTTAACAACTGCTCTGCTTTGTTTGTGTAATTAGGGAGGCTCAGAATGATAAGGATGCCAGCATTTAAAAAAGCTGTACATTTGCTTTTGCCATACGGTTGTGCTGTCATTCTGGAGAGTTTTTCTTCATGGTTCCCAACTGAATTGGGCCACTTTTTGAAACTGAACTTCCTTCTATTGGCTTCT